AACCTGAGGATTTTAAAAAAATTAGACAAAGAGGGCTGCCTAATTCATTTATTCTCCAGGACTACTCTTGACAGGCTAATTCTTCACTGTCACCAAGCCACGCAATTTGCTTTCATTTCACCAGGAAAAAAAGGCTTCTTGAAGTTCTCTCTGGCCAATTAATTCAGCTAAAATTTATCAATCCTTATAATCTCATGTGAGATTGCCCAAATTTTCCTCATACCCTTTGGCATCACTCTTTCAAATTACACAAACACTATGTTAATATATGCTCACTAGCAGAGAAGTATAGTTTTTTACTGAAGATGGTAAATTGTAGTGATGAAAAGACCATGAGTGATGAAATTATCTAACTAATGTTAGGTGTTATTCTAGAGTTTTTCACATAGGTTTTCTCATCTAATCCTAACTAGGAAGCAGTAGGGTTGGAATTTGGATTTAGGGCTGATTATCAAATTCTGGCAATCAAAGCATGAGGTGATGAAGGCCTGTATTAGTATGGGGGCAGTGGAAATAGTGAAGTAATACATAAGAACAAGTCTGAAAGAAACATTCACAAATCTTGACAAATTTAGGAGATATAGAAGAATGAACCAGAAATAACTCTAAGGTTTGAGAAGCTATGAGAACACAGGGTAGGTTTTGTTGGTTATACAAGAAATATCTATTGGTAACTCTAGATTTGATACAATAGCTCAGGGAAAAGAACAGGACTGGAGCTCTTTGTTATTTTCATCTCAGGCACATAGAATTAGATGACTCATAAACCTAGTTAATGATGCTCTCATCCATGCATGGCCTGTTTTATTAGGTAATTATTGTTAATGAAGTAATAAACACCCACAGACCCACTAAACAACAAAAGTTAGGACCTTGTTAATAATTACATGGAATAATGTCCCACCCACCTCATCATATTGTCTCCTCCCACAAAGAAAACTTTAGCTCCAGATGGTTCCACTGGGAACTTCTTACAAACATTTAAGGAAAAAATAATACCTGTTCTCCGTGAACTCTTACAGAAAATTAACGAAGGGGAAATACTTCCCAACTCATTCTGTGAGAGAAGTATTACTCTGTTAGCAAAAGCAGACATTACAGGAAAATAAAACTGTATAAATAAATAAAAATAAATAAAAAACTGTATAAATAAAACTGTATAAAAATAAAAAGGACATTGAGATCAATGTCCCTCATACACATGGATGCAATATTTCTTAGCAAAATTTTATCAAATTGAATTTATTTGTATGTTAAAAGGATAATGCAACATGATCAAATGAAGCTTATCCTAGGAATGTAAAGTTGATTTAACATTTGAAAATAAATTAATGTAATTCACCATAGTAAAAATAGAAACCATATGATTATCTCAATAGACACAGAAAGAAATTAGATTAAATCCAACATCCATTCCTGACATCGCTCCAGCACCGTAAAAGTAGACAGCAACGTAATCGGATATAGGGCATCTAAGAAAAATCTGTAGCTAAAATTATACTTAATGGTGAAAGACTGAACATTTCCCCCCTAAGATCAGGAAGAAGGCAAAGATGTCTGCTCTCTCTAATTCTATTTAACATTGTACTGAAGGTTCTAGCTAGTACAATCAGGCCAGAAAAAGAAACAAAACACATCCAGATTGGAAAGGAAAAAGTAGAATTGTGTTCACAGATGATATAATTGTCTATGTAGAAAATCTGATGGAATCTCCAAAAAACCCGATGGAACTAAGAAGTTACTTTAGCAGGGTAGCAGGATATAAGGTCAGAATACAAAAATATATATCTATATGCTAGCAACAAACAATCATCAATTGAAATCTAAAAAACACCACCAATTATAGTAGCATCAAAAATTTGAAATTAGGGATAAATCTCACAAAAGACGTGAAAGATCTGCACACTGAAAATGATGAAACATTTCTGAGAAAAAATATAGGAGAAGTAGATAAATGGAGAGGTATACTGTGTTCATAGATCAGAAGACTCAATATTATTAAGATGTCAGTTCTCCCCAAATCCATCTACAGATCCAATGCAATCCCAGTCAAAATCTCAGCAGGCATTTTCACAGAAAATGACAATCTGATTCTAAAATTTCTGTATGAATACAAAGGACCTAGAATAGCCAAAACAACTGTGAAAAAGAACACAGTCAGAGTTACGCTACCTTTCTCAAGCCCCATTATTAAGTATACTAGTCCAGACTGTGGCATGGTGACTATAGTTAAAAAAAAAAAAGAGAGAAAAACAATGTGGTATTGGCATCAAGGGAGACAAATCGATTGATGAAACAGGATGGGGGGTCCGGAAGTAGACCCACACATGTATGGTCAATTGATTTTTGACAAAGGTACAAAAGCATTTCACTGGAGAAAGGATACGTTTTTTCAATAAATGATCCTAGAAAAATTGTTATCCATATGCAAAAAAAGGAATTTGCACCATATACAAAAATTAACTCAAAATGGATCAAAGACCTAAATGCAAAACCTAAAACTATAAAACTTCTAGAAGAAAATGTAGGATAAGTTCTTCTTGATTGTGACTTAGGCCAGTACAACACCGAGAGCACAAACCATAAAAGAAAAAATTGATAAAATGGACTTTGTCAAAATAAAGAACTTCTGCTCTTCAAAAGATACTGCTAAGAAAATGAAAAGACAAGTGAAAGACTGGGAGAAAATCTTTGCAAATTATACATCTGATATAGGCCTTCTATCCAGAATATATAAAGTACTCTCAAAATTTAATAATGGGCAAATAAACAACCCAGTAATAAAATGGGCAAAAGATATGAATAGATACTTACACCAAAGAATATTTACAGGTAGAAAAGAAACATGAGAAGATGTTTAATATCATCAGTTATTATGGAAATGTAAATTAAAACCATAATGTGATGTCACTATATACCTTTAGAATGTCTAAAATTAAGAAGACTATACCAAGTGTTGGTGAGGATATAGAAAAAGTGTCACTCTCATGCACTATTGGTGGGAAGATAAAATGGTACAACCACTTCGAAAACAGTTTGGTAGTTTCTTACCAAGTTAAACATAAATCTACCATAAGGCCTAGTCATTATACTTTATTTATCCCAGAGAAATAAAAAAAATATGTCCACACAAAGACTTGTACATGAGTATTCATAGCAGCTTTATTTATAATAGTAACTGGAAACAACCCAAATGTCCATCAATAGATGAATGGTTAACAAATTGTGGTATGTTCATACAATGGAATAATATTCAGTAATAAAAAGGGATGAACTGTTGATATTTGCGATAACCTGGATGAATCTCAGAATAGTCATGCTGGGTGAAAGAGACCAGACATTAGAGTGCATACTATATGATTCCATATGCAGAAAATTTAAACTAATCTACAGTGACAGAAAGCATATCTGCCAGGGGTTGGGGGTGGGAGAGGCAAGAAGAAGAGGAAGGTAAAGAGTCTGAGAAAATTTTTTGGGGTAATGTATATATTCATTATGTTGATTGTGGTGATGGTGTCATGGGTACAATACATATGTCAGAACTTATCAAATTGTACAGTTTTAAAAGTGTAGTTTAGGGGCCAGCCTAGATCCTGGGCACGAACCTACACACCACTCATCAAGCCATGCTGTGGCAGGTGTCCCACATATAAAATAGAGGAAGATGGGCATGGATGTTAGCTCAGGGCCAGTCTTCCTCAGCAAAAAGAGGAGGATTGGCAGCAGATGTTAGCTCAGGGTTAATCTTCCTCAAAAAAAGAAAAAAAAATGTAGTTTATTGTACATCAATTATACCTTAGTAAAGCTGGTAGAATTTTTTTTAAAGTCATAAATAAAATTCTAAAAAGTATTCAATTAATCTAGAAATAGAAAGGAAAAGAATAATAGAGGAACAAAAGAAGAGAGGGCAAACAAGAAACAATCAGTAAAATGTTAGGCTTAAGTCCATGCATATAAATAATTACATTAAATAATTACATTAATTTGGTAACCACTGCAACTAAAAGACAGATATTATCAGAACTGATTTTTAATTTTATTTTAATTTATTTTTTTGAGGAAGATTAGCCCTGAGCTAACTACTGCCAATCCTCCTCTTTTTGCTGAGGAAGACTGGCCCTGAGCTAACATCCATGCCCATCTTCCTCTACTTTATACGTGGGATGCCTACCACAGCATGGCTTCCCAAGCAGTGCCATGTCCGCACCCGGGATCCGAACCAGCGAACCCCAGGCCGCCGAGAAGCCGAACGTGTGAACTTAACCACTGCACCACCAGGCCCGCCCCAGAACTGATTTTTTAAAAAGCAAGCACCAATTATATGCTGTGTCCAAGAGATATACTTTACATATAAAGATATAGATAGGTTGAAAGTAAATGGGTAGAAAATTATATACCATGCAAAGTAAACTTAAGAAAGTTATGTCTATTTTAATATCAGAAGAATGTAAAACAGTGAAGTAAGAGGAGGGAAATTTCATACTGATGGAAGGGTCAATTCAAAAAGAACATATTACAGTCATAATGTAAATGCACTTAAAAGAGCTTGAAATTACGTGAAACAAAAATCACAGAATTAAAAGAAGAAATAGTTCCATTTAGTTGAAAACTGATAGAAGAACTAGGCGCCCCCCCAAAATATTTAGTAATGACATAAAACATCCAAATAACAGGATCAACCACCTTGACCTAGTTGATATTTATAGAATAATACACCCAATAACTGCAGAATACACTTTCTTTGCAAGTGCACTTGATATGTTCACCAAGCTATTCTGGCCCATAATCTTACAAGGATCTTGTAACACCATGAGCCTCGTACCTTCAATACCCTGTATCTTGGAAAAAGGAGCTAAGGGTTATCACAATTTGTTACTTGCCTAGATTATATCAGTATGTTTCGAGGAGCAATTAACATGCTATTTCTGTTCACAATAATACATAGCATATTAAAAAACTGTCATTAAAAATTCTTATTCAAGACTAATACATTTTTTCAGGTGCAAAGATATACAAAGCTTCATAATCACCCCAAGACCACACCCAAGAGCAAACATGAATGATATTTCCCAAAAAGCTGAGGTAAGTCTCAAAAGTTAAAAAAAAAAATGGAGGAAATGTGAGATTGACTGCAGAATTGGTGAAAGGGCAGTTGTTTGGTGGAAAGGTCATATTCAGAAGTTCATGGTAACAGTGTGAAGATGTAAAACATAAGAAAAGATAAAATTCACAGGCTGGTCTTGAGTGTGGTATTTTCATTTCATTTCACTGGATTCTAATCTAGGAAGCATGATTATTTGTGAATGATAGTGAAATGGCTACCATCTTTAGAATTTAATATCTTGATAAGTCTTAGGAGTTTTTTTTTTTAGTATTAAAAAACCAGATTTGATGCATACTCTTAGGAGAAAGTGATAATTCACTCTCAGGCCAGGATCCTTCTTCCGGCAGCTGCAATTCTCTTGGCCTTTTTCTGGTTCTTGACTGTAGTTACTGAGAGTTGTAGTAAGGGGACCTCAGTTTCTGACACCCCAAAATTATAAACTTTAAAAAACCTTAAATGAACAATGACACCATAAGTAGAAAATAAGATAGAGGCTGGGTATGCCACAAATTAATTTAAAAATTTGTCTTTATCACTAGGGGAGAATGTTTGGTGTTCTGAGGCACTGAAGTTTTATTTATTGAAACTTCTTTTAGAGATCAGCTTAATTTTCAAAAGATGAAAATAATATGCTTTCCTGGTTTTAGACTAGAGGAAAATCTTTTCTCCAGTCTTTTACCAGAGCCTTCCTTCTTTGGGAAGCTCTATTGCCATTTGGGAATTTTCCTCGTAGAGCTCATCCTACTTGGAATGATACAGCCATCTTACGCATTCAAAATGTTGGTTTAAAGAAGCTCTAGATGGGCAGGATAGAAGGAGCAACAGCATAAATCGCTGCTTGTGCACGAAGACCCTGGCGCACTTCAGCCACAAATGAGACGTAAAGGTCTGGCCTCCACTTTGGCTCATGTTAGACGTGGAAGCAAGCAAGAATGTTAATGTGTGAATTAGCCTTTAAATTTTAAAGCCTAAACTTTTGCTTTGTTTTCTACTTCATCAAATTTATTGAAATTAGTCTCCGTGTCCTTTAAGCAAGTGATGTAAACTCTGAATCTTTAATAGTGGAGTAGGTCACTAAAATACAGGTTGTTTTAAATTAGAATCCAGTATTCAATTTTTATATTTTACTAGTCTTAAGCTTCAGTAAAACACATCTACAAAATGGGACTTCTTTACTATTTATTAATAAAATTTTTACTCTCATGTTTTCCGTAATTTCATTTTTCATACTTGGATTTAGAATGTATCTAATCAGATTCTGATGGTACAAATAAAGGTTTCGAATTCATTTCTATTTTCTGTTTCAATAAGTATTTCTTATATTGCTTATTCTGCTCTGTCTTTACCTAATTTCCTCTTATCTTATTTTTTTTAACTTTCTTTTCTTTATTTTCTTCTAACGAAGATTCTGCTTTCTTCATCTAAACCTATCCAAAAATCCTATGTGCCAAAACTTGGCAAGGGTGATATAAAGGATAAGTTTGAAGCCATGCAGAGAGCCAGGGAAGAAAGAAATCAAAGGAGATCTAGAGACGAAAAGCAAAGAAGAAAAGAACAATATATTAGAGAGAGAGAATGGAACAGGAGAAAGCAGGAGGTTATTTTATTTTACTTTATTGTTATGCAAATACTCATTTTCATCTTTTTAATTTACATTTTATTATTCACATTAATCACATTTCATATTAACTATAAAATAATTTTCTGTAGTTATAAACTAATTTCAAACTCTGCATATAATATGACTTAGTCTAAACTTTGGACATGTTCATATTAATTTATGTAACCATCTAGATTAAAGAAATGCTTGCTTCTGATGATGAAGAGGTATCTTCTAAAGTAGAAAAGGCCTATGTCCCAAAGCTAACAGGTAAGAAACCTGAGGGGTAAGTTGTAAATTAAATTGCAAAAAAGGAAACATAGCAAAATATCAGACATGTTTCATACATTCTTAGGAACCGTGAAAGGTAAATTTGCTGAAATGGAGAAGCAAAGACAAGAGGAACAAAGGAAGAGAACGGAGGAGGAGCGAAAACGCAGAATTGAACAGGATATGTTAGAAAAGAGGAAGATACAACGTGAATTAGCAAAAAGGGCTGAGCAGGTACACACTAAACGTTAAATTGTTATTTGCTTCAGAAACTAATTTTACAGAGTAAAACTAATCAGTATGTTGCCTAATGAAAATATTTTAATATAACATAGACCTATTAAATAGCTGCTATCTCGAAAACAAGATCTTAAGCACAAATATTTAATGTCAAATGCCTAGAAGGATAAGGGCAGAATGTGCCTATTTTAAGGTTGAATACTGAGATGACTTTTCTTCTTTACCATCTTACCATTCTGTCCACGTTCCTTACAGTGTCCACACTCCTTATTTTTCCTGACATGTTAGAAGATTTTACAAAGAAGTACGGCAATTTCATACATAAACTATCCACAAGCATCTAACAAGATGCTGGTCTTTTAATAGCAATCAGTAAATACTTTTTGGTTATTATAAAGCACCAAGGTGTAATTAGGATATCTTCCTAATCAAGAATTTGAAACAAATTAAATCATTTTATTTAATAATGGTATTATTAGCTAGCTTGTTAACTTTTTTTAAAGTTGCGGACAGGAGTAGGAGAGGGGAGAAATGTGTGACAGTCATTTCCTTCATATAGCTATAACTTGTCCATAGCCACAGAGGACAAATTAGAAGAGAGAAAAGTAGTAGTATGATTTTACATAGTCTCTTAATGAACTGAGAATTCCCATATATTTTTAGATCAGAGCATGAGTACTAAGAGGCTGGTAAGTATTTTTAAAATACTCAAGAATCTGATCTAATTTCCAGAAAACATTAATCTCTCAAAATTATTAGTCATTATAATGACGTAGAAACTTAAAGTCTAATAGTCATAATTGCATTTTATTGAGAACTGATCAATTCACAAAATTTCTTTAATATATTGATACTTATGTTATAAATTATCTGTAGTATACAGTTGAAAACATGACAGAAGACAATTATCCTGTTTATGTACTTCAATCTGGTATACACTGTAAGATCAAAAAGATGATCAATGTATTGAGCTTAATGAGATGATAATGGTATTTATCTCCCGGAATTATTAATAAGATTATATGAGTTAATAAATGCAAAGCACTTAGAAAAGTGCCTGGTACAAAGTAAGCGGGCTATAAATACTTAATGTTTTACCTAGATAATATTATATATAGATAAAATGTCATGAAACCATTTTAGTTTCTCCTTCTCTCATCAATATTTTAACAAATATCCTAACATAGTCTTCACAGTATGTTGTCTCTTTAAAAAACATTTTAATTGTGAATTGTACTTGACTTTTTTTGCCTCCTCTTTAAGTGCCTTAAATCTATTTGCTATGCTCCTTTCAGTTTCCACTACGTTTATAAAAAGAAAAGTGACAAAGAAGGCAAAGCATATGCTATACTTGCATGTCAAAGAAATTTATTTACCCCAGACTTTGCAAATAACCACTTCCAAGACATGAATAGCCACTTGTATGCTGGCAAATAATGACATGCCAGATGAATTATAGAAAAGAATTGGAATTTCCTATATTGTATTACTTTGTACCTCTTTATCTGAGGAAAGGATGGTATATATTTTACCTCTGCCACCTCCAGTCATCAAAGATTAGTATTCATTTTGCAATGAAATTTCACAAGGGAATACAATTATAATAAATATTATAAATTATATATTATAAATATAAAATATATCACTATGTAACTATATAAATTATGCAATAAGGTAATACAATATAATAAAATATGTAATTAAAATATATGGTGTTTGGCAGCAAATAATGGGTATACACACGGGGTTAATCTCCTTCTTTTAAATCTTGTGTCCTTTTTCAAAAAGCACTGATTGCTCAGTAGACTTTAAGACCCATTACAACCCGGGGGACTGAATATGTACGTAGTGGTTTCTCAAAGAAAAACTATGTGTGTGTTGAAGAGGTGAGTTTGAATATGAGGAAGACGTAGGATACTCAGAGAGAGATGGAAACAAAATATAACCATGAAAAAGAACCACTTGGTTACTAACTCTTGATACTACATGGCAGGATGCCATATAATCCTGGTTAATGAAACTTTTGGCCTATTAAATTGTTTGAGAATGTGTAGGTACAGCAAAATAAACTTTTAATAGTAATTTCATCTTGCAACTATAGAAAGTTTAATTTTAAAATTAATTTGCTTTAATCCAATTAAGTATGTTTTCTGCTCAAATCTGATAAAATTTAATGTATCTTTGAATATAATAGGTAAAGTATGACATAGGTAGTCAAGAAAATTCTTAATGTTTGTTTGAAAAATCCACTTGTACAAGTGCATATTCAAGAATGCTATAGAAGGGATTCCTGAGTCAGGAAAGTAGCTGAGTGACCTTCAAGGTAATTACCAGTTCTGAGATTCTAGGATCACATGATGAATTAAAAATGGGGGTACTTTGTATACTAGATGTTAGAACCAAAGACCAATAAAATTTGGGGGAGAATCTTAATTTAGTATAATCTGGTTATCTTTGAGGATACTCTGATGGGCAAGGTTAACATCTATCAATTTAGAAAAGAGAACATATTGGTGGGGGATTGGGGTGTTGAAAAAAAGGGAAGAAAAGGAAGTTGATTTGTGAAGGAGTTTTCTTTCCATAAATCAAAAGATATAGTTGAGAAGCAGCTCTTCAGTGGTAGTTTCTGAAAGCCAACGCTATGCCTAAACTGAATATCTCAGTTCTCTGTGGATATACTGACACCATAGTCACTTAAATGAACTCATCTTTTTCCTTGTTTGTTGAAACCCAATGAAAAAAATTCTATCTTTTGTTGTTTTGGTAATAATTTAAAATAAGCAAAGAAGAAAGCAAAAAAAAACAAAAAAAAACCTCTCCAAGTACAGGGTACTGTCTTACCATAAGCTAATCAAAATCTGAGAAAGCTGTAGCAGCAAGAAAAAGAAATTTGAGATTAAGAAATTTAGAATTTCTCTTCCCTATACTCTCAATGTCTGGCTTCTCATCATATAACCTAGAACCTTTTATTGAGAGATTAATGTGATTTGTAGAGGAATTGTTAGCATGCTTTTGAAAGGACATAATTTTGTAATTATTTTATTATAGATCCATTAAAGTTTTTCTTAGTATAATGCATCATTCAATAAAACCTTCACCATTTACACAGCAAATCAGTGTAATAAATAATTCTGTAACAAAGCAAATTATTCTGAACAAAACTACTAAAAACAAACTATTAAAATATTAAGTAGAGGCCAGCCCTGGTGGCCTAGTGGTTGAGTTGGTGTGCTCCGCTTCAGTGGCCCGGGGTTTCTTTCCCAGGCATGGACCTACACCACTTGTCTATCAGTGCCCATGCTGTGGCAGTGGCTCACATACAAAAAATAGAGGAAGATTGGCAACAGATGTTAGCTCAGGGCCAATCTTCCTCAAAAACAACAATTAAGTAGATTATTTTTAATGAATGATTTGTTCAGAATAATTTATTTTTCAAGAAATTTGGTATCTTAGTAAAATGTATTATTTCTTCCTTGACAGAGAATATAGAAAAGTGGGGTGATGAAAGAATAGGAACTGACCCAGTCCAGTTCCTAGTATAAGACAAGGTGCAACACAATTTCCTTAGACAGTGTGAGGAACAAACTACTTCCAGACTCTTTCGTTGGTGTTAAAAATCAAATTAAAACAATAAACAATCTGAATTTTTACTTCCTAACTTTTCCCATTTTCCTATTGCTTATGTTCCCTCTTTCTGAACTCTCAAACATTGCATTATTTAAATCATTTATCTTCTCTCATTTCTCAGTTTGTTACGTACATTAATTAGCCTGCCCCTCAAATTAATCTAATGATATTTCTTATGAGAAATGGCCAAAAGCTCCCTCCTTTTGAATGAGGCCCTTTCCTACCTAGATCTAGTCAAAATATAGGGTACACAATTTTGAATGTCAGAATTATTTTCCCTTCTAAACGAGCCATGTGAAAGCCTACTCCTTTGACCACACTTTATTATTGTCAGTTATATTTTTGCCATGTATTTATATTGTAAAATATAGTCATGATGATGATTTGATTACTAATGACAGGTTTTCCTTTTGTTAGGCAGAGACAGAGAATGGAGAAATGTTTCTGTATCTCAGTTTATATTACTAATTTAATTAACAATTGCTGCTTTTGTAAGCTTACAGCCAGGTCATAAGAGTTTGGTCCATTATTCAAATTCCAGAATTACAAAGGTAGGCTTTATTTTAATTTTTTCTTAATATGTTGTTCCCTAGATATTGATGTTGATATCAAAATGCAAAAACTAATATAAGGTTTAATCTCCATTTAAAAGGACATAATTGGCTAATTTGGAGGAATATTAAAATATTTCAAAAATTATAAATTTGAAAATTTACCATAAGCACAACTAAACTACTTTTCAGTTGTATGTTTAAAAACAAAAAGCAGAAATCCAATGTAATGTAATGATATGAAATTCTCATTCAATAGATTGAGGACATAAACAATACGGGAACTGAATCAGCATCAGAGGTAAATGGACATTTCCTTTAATGAAACGTTCACCTAAAACTATCTGATTCACAAATAATCTATTAAAAAATTAAAAGTTTTTATTCTTTTTATTATAAATATAGCAACAACAACAAAAAGGATGAAAATATTTTGCAAAAGCAAGATCATACTTTTGCTCTTTCAAACACTATAGCTTAGTGTTTTTAAAGAAAAGTATGTTTTTGCTTTCATGGTTAAATTAGAGACGCAAATCTGAGTTTGAGATACTCTGCCAAGACTATATAGTTCTTGAACTTTTACTAATAGTTGAGATTGTTGAAAGCTAACATTTTAAAAGGGCAGTTTTCTTTTCATCATTTGTCTTCTTTCCTCAGAGTTCCTGGTGGTTTGTTTCGGTTATTACATACTGTTAGAGAGTGCAGTATCTGTTACCGTGAAGGAATGTTCAACAACCACAAAAATTTTAGTTTTCCCTTTTTAACTAACAGAGAAAGTTATAAATCAATCAATTTGATGGTGTGCCTAAAATTTCAGCCACATAAATTGGAAGCAATTTTATTTTAGGAGCATGTGTTACAAATTATAGCTTCTCTTTATTTTTGAAAAAAGTTCAGAGGCAACAATGGATTATGTAATGGAACTAATTAAAATGCACTTTAAAAACAACAAATTTGAGACTATTTTAATAGGCTCAAATGCCAAATCATTTTATAATATAAATGTTTTATAAGTCACTTGAAAATACTGTTTTTTTCCCCTCTCACTAAATACTAATTTTATTAACTATTTAAAAACTCGCATGGAGAGAAAAATCATATGGAGACACTGTTTTGTGTGTTTAAACTGAATCCAGTCACCATCAAATTGGTTTAGAGTACACTCACATGCACATTACCTTTTGTGGGATTAGTGCACGGATAGCTAAATTCAGATAATATCATGCAGTTTTATCCAAACAGCTGTATTAACGTCATCTTCTAGGAACGAAGAGGCTCCTTGAACCTTGTCAGCAATGGATTTCAATAAGATTAACTCATAATGTAGAGGGAACTCAGAGAAAGAGCTATTTAATAGAAATCTGTAAAAAAATATAAATTTTTCTTCTTCATAACACTGATGGCAATGTAATGAAATTCACCAATGATGGAGGTAAAGTCTTGTGAAACCTGAATTTTAATTAGGGGGAAATATGCTAATTATCTATTTTGTAAATTAGGAAGGAGATGAGTCACTGCTTGTAACAGTGGTACCTAGCAAATCACACAAAGCATCTGGAAAAATAAAAAAGAATTTCGAGGATCTAGAAAAAGAACGAGAAGAAAAAGAAAGGGTCAGATATGAAGAGGATAAAAGAATAAGATATGAAGAACAACGACGATCTCTCAAGGAAGCAAAGTGTCTTTCGTTGGTCATGGTAATTTTTTTTTTTGTCAGGGAGCAAATCAAAGCAGTTAAGTTGGTTAGCAGCATTTCCCTTTATGATTAACAGATGGGTTTTCATAATGTTTTCTTAGGATGATGAACTGGAAAGTGAGGCTAAAAAAGAATCACTTTCTCCTGGAAAATTGAAACTAACTTTTGAAGAATTGGAAAGACAAAGACAAGAAAACCGGAGGAAGCAAGCTGAAGAGGAAGCAAGACAACGTTTAGAAGAAGAGAAGCGTGCTTTTGAAGAAGCAAGGCGGCAAATGGTAAAACAAACATGTATATATAATGTTTATCTATATAATGACATAATTTATAATTTAATAAATGATATATATATACTTTATATAATAGTATATAAATGTTATATATAAAACATTTAATATTAGGGAAGGTAGCTGGCTTTAGATAAGGTTCAATCCTATAAATTCAAGGAGATTTTCTATATAAAAGGGTCTGATTTTGAAACTGTATACATATTGAACATATAAGATTCATTTATATTATTTTCTAGTTTCCATCTGGGGACATTTATCTAATATGCTTTAAATTTTTATTTTTATAAATTGTTGTAAATATGCAAAATAATTACTCAATGAACTTGGTTTCTCTTCCTCTGTTAGTTCAGACTGCAGTGTATTTAAACACAGGGTGCAGCACATTTTCAAGTCTAATCATAAGTGTACACTCAGTTTCAGTCCAGTTTTGCAAATGTTTGAACATATCAAAGTTAGTTTGCTATGGAATATGCAGTTTGCCATACTAAGTATGTACGTATGTGTGTGTCTGTATATATTATATGTGTATATATGTATATAGCGTAGTGTATATAGTGTAGTGGTTAAGAGTATGGATTTTGGAACCACACTGCCTGGATTCAGATATCTACCACTTGGTAAGTGTGTCACCATGAACAAATTATTTAACCTATATCTTAGTTTCTTCATTTGTAAAATGGTGAAAATAATTGTGCCTACTTCTTAAATTGTTAAATGAGTTAATACAGAAAGCAGTTGAAGTAGTGTCTGGCATATAATAAGTGCTTTAAAGTTTTTACTATTATTATTAATAAATTTATCAATAAAAATAAAATTTAAATAACAGATTCCAAATCTCATTATAAGAAGTTAAAAGTGGAACAGCTATAATTTTTTAAAGCTCTCAGAATTTCTTGACCAACTTTTATTAATGATGTTCTAAAAACTATATCTTCAAAATTTCAACTTTCTAGATATTTGTTTGAAAATGTTATTAGTTTTGGGTAATTACAGTTGCATAATACCTACACATTTTAGATATCACTGGTGGTTAATTTAATGAAAAGATAAAGAAAAATCATTAGTTAATCTAATCATTTCAATGAATAATATTAAATTAGAATTTTAACTATAAAACCATAAAATTTGAATTTTATATAAAAGACTTCCAGATAATCTTTTATCTGATTAGTATAAGGAAAAGTACCATAGTTCATAGTAAAAAATCCATGAAAATTACAAAAGGAGAACTTTATTTTATTACCAAAGAGATTCTGTTTAGGTATACTTGAACCTCAATTTAAGTATACACACACACACACACACACGTGTTTTATGTTTGTTCTGGGAGAGTTAATATTTAATAGAACTCTTAAATGATGCCTTAAAAAATTTTAAACACTCTATCTTATCTATTTAAAAATTTGACTTGCTTGAAAAATTTTATTTAACTTGAGTACATCTTTATTTGGAATTTCTCCAAATTTGAGTATTTTATCATATAAGACATTATAAAGGAAGGTGATTTTGGTCAAGTATATTAAGGGCAAAGAAACATTCCTGTATGAGGTGGCTGATTGGTGCTTTTTGATTGATAATTCATTCCTGTCTTTGATGAATCTCAATTCTTAGTAATGAGTTGTTTCTTGGTTAGGTAAATGAGGAGGGGGAAAACCAAGAGACAGAAAAAATTTTTAAAGGGTACCGCCCTGGTAAACTCAAACTCAGTTTTGAAGAAATAGAAAGACAAAGGAGAGAAGATGAAAAAAGGAAAGCAGAAGAAGAAGCCAGAAGAAGAATAGAGGAAGAAAAGAAGGCATTTGCTGAAGCAAGGAGAAGCATGGTAAGACAGAACGTACCTGAAAAATGCCACTAGGATTCAACATTTTAGAATATGTTAAGAGAAATCATTAAACTTTGGGGAATACTCTATTATTTCTGGAATTTGAGCCAAGAGTAGGGATGGCAGGTAAGTTTTAAAGCCTCCTATGGTATGCGCCCAGTCAGTTAAAGGTGTTCACTTCAGTGTAGTGTTGAGAAGGTTCTGATTAAATTGCTGTGCCTGGCATAGGGGATTGAATATTCTCTTCCTTCTCTGGGAAGGCATGTTTCCCAGAACTAAGTACCTAAGCAGGGAGTTTCCTACGCCCACCTTTCCTTCCCTCCTCTCCATTCTCCTCTCCCTTCACACATTTCCTCCTGCCTTCCCTCATTCCTTCCTTTCCTTCCTTCTTTCTTTCTTTTCAATTTCCATCCCATCTGGTATATATTAAATGGCCAAAGCCATTTAATCACAATTATTTAACTCTCCAAAATGGTCACCCATCACTTCTGGATATTATTACCCAACTTCTCTCTGCCACAAATTTTTATTTCTTTTTTCTTTTTTTCTTTTTAAAGATTTTATTTTTCCCCCTTTTTCTCCCCAAAGCCCCCCGGTACATAGTTGTGTATTCTTCGTTGTGGGTTCTTCTAGTTGTGGCATGTGGGACGCTGCCTCAGCGTGGTCTGATGAGCAGTGCCATGTCCGCGCCCAGGATTCGAACTGACGAAACACTGGGCCGCCTGCAGCGGAGCGCGCGAACTTAACCACTCGGCCACGGGGCCAGCCCAACACAAATTTTTTATTTCTTATACTATTTTAATGTTTGTAAAATGTACCGCTATCTGACAAACTTTATTTTCAAGCAAGTTGACATATGAATGCTGCATCCCCTTCTTGACACATTCTAATTGGCTTCAGTGATGTGACCTGGCTTTCTTCCTAAGTCTGGGTGAGTTTCAGACACATTTATCCACGTGTTTATTTGGCTTCATCACTCACCCAGATGCTTAAATCACAAACTTGGGAGCCTTCAACACTTCCACCTTCTCATTCATGCCTCACATCAAATCATTCACTAAGTCTGATTTGTTCTACCTCCTAAATCACTCTAAAAATCTGTCAGTTTTTCCCCATTTCCCACTGCCACTATTAATCAAGGTCACTGTTACCCCTTGTCTCAGGCCAACTCCTAATTAACTTGCTTTCTTGTCTATAATCCATTCTTCTCTGTAAAGCCAGGAGTGATCTTTCTTTCTTTCTTTTTAAAGTAAATCTGATTACTTTACTATTTTGCTTAAAAATTTTCTACTTCCCTTAAGCAAAAATCCAAAAACATGGTTTTTTTTTTGGTGAGGAATATTTGCCCTGAGCATCTATGCCAATCTTCCTCTATTTTCTATGTGGGTCACAGCCACAGCATGGCCACTGATGAGTGGTGTAGGCCCATGCCTGAGAACTGAACCTGGGCCACTGAAGCAGAGTGTGCTGAACTTAACCACTAGGCACCAGGGATGGCCCCAAAAATTACAAAAACTTTTTTTTTGGTGAGGAAGATTGGCCCTGAGCTAACTTATGTTTATTGTCAATCTTCCTCTTTTTGCTTGAGGAAAGCCAACCCTGAGCTAACATCTGTGCCAGTCTTCCTCCATTTTGTATGTGGGATAGCTCAACAGCATGACTAGTGAGTGGGGTAGGTCCACGCCCGGGATCCGAACCTGCGAACCCAAGCCACTGAAGCAGAGCTTGAAGAACTTTAACTACGTGGCTGTACTAGAAATGCATTCTAGTATAACAAACTTCCTATAAATGTGTGTCGAATAAGTAATATTAAAACTATCCTATGTGTAATATGAGGTAATCCTTGATTACAAATGGCTTCTAGAAACCCTACAAACATTGTGAAAACACTTAATTTTTGGAGAATAAACAAGGTTCAGAAGTGGTAGACAAGAAGTAGCTGTGAAGATCAGGAGGTCTAATTCTGGGGGCCGATTTTTAGACCCAAACTGCCTTTTTACCATGATTCACTAATGGAAAAAGTGCAGGGCAGGAAAACTGCATTAAACCACAACACTAGTTTCCTAGAGACATTTCTGTATCAGGAAAGAGAAACTTCTTTTTTCATTTATGTTGTTTTCTTGTCCAGGGCCAAGTATTGTAACTTCATATTATAGCTCAGTAACTCATATATTAATAAAAAGAATTTTTTTGGTACTTTTTGGATTGTAAGACCATATAAGCATTGTTTCTGAGTTGAACTGGTTCTGTGGTAGAGCTTTCATATATAAAACTTGGAGTGAATAAATGATAACCCTGTGCCTCTCTCTTTCTCCTATGTCTATTTCAGCCACAGGGTTACAATTCAGGCCAGAAGTTTATGTATATACTTTCAGGGGATAGAAAAACAGAATTAGGTAATTGATTTTTGTGGTAAAATATATTCCAAGTCAACGGTTTAAAAGCAAAGTTTCTATTTTTAATCTAGAGATTGCCTGTATGTATAGAGGGAATGATAATGTAATAATAAAACTGCCATCTGGTAGCATACTGTAGTGTCAGGCACACTACTAAGTACTCCCAAACTTTATTTAATTCTCATGACAACTCTATGAAAGTTGTCGCAGACAAAGAAACTCAGACTTGGAGAAGCTAGCTAACTTGTCCACAGTCACAACTAATTGGCAGCTAGACATGTAATTCATGAAATTACAAAAAGTAGGCTAAATCATTATCTATAATTTTATTAGACTTTTCAAGTTTTGACTCCCCCCTTTGCCATTAGCATTTGTGTTGACTTTGGACAAGTTACTTTTCAGTGCTTCATTTCCCTCATCTATAAAATGGGGATATTAATAATAGTATTACAGGATTAAATAAGTTAATACATATAAAGTGCTTAGAATGGTACCTGGAAGCTCTAAGTAAGTATTAACTATTATTATTTATTTTTAATTAGCCTGACAATAAATAAATCAGTATAATAAAATCATAGCATCAAGAGTGATATTTTTTGCCTGATTATGAAGGGATCATGATGGGTTATCTAATTCATTCAGACAAAACCATGATTTAACAGAAATGGTTGATTTTAATTGCCAGAATGGGGATTCATTTTAATCTAAAAAGTGTTCTCGATATTAGGAAATCTTACTGTCTAATTCAAATTACTGATAGTATAAAGTCAGTATTTCTTTGTGTTCATTGGAATGGAGAAAAGATGGTCAGCATTTCTCTGTAACTAGAAAATACCTTAATCTTATATATATATATTTTTTTTTTCCTGAGGAAGATTAGCCCTGAGCTAACATCTCTGCCAATCTTCCTCTATTTTTTATGTGGGTCACCACCACAACATGGCTGACAAGTGGTCTAGGTCCATGCCTGGGATCTGAACCTGTGAACCTAGGCTACCAAAGTGGAGTGTGCCAAACTTAATCTTATATTTTCTAATAATTCTTACCTTGTTTATTGTTTTATACTTTAGAAGAGAATTTAGGTCTCCTGGTTTTAGTTCATTGCAAAACTTTTATATCTAAGTAATCACAGTTTCTACAAGTGATACCCCTTTTTAGTATGGATAATTCTGGCAAGAGTGGTAAAAGAATTATTTTAAATAGGTAGTAGATGATGACTCCCCAGAGATGTATAAAACAATCTCTCAAGAATCTCTTACACCTGGAAAACTGGAAATTAACTTTGAAGAATTATTAAAACAAAAAATGGAAGAAGAAAAACGACGAACAGAGGAGGTACGGAAGCATAAGCTAGAGATGGAAAAACAGGAGTTTGAACAACTGAGACAAGAAATGGGACAGGTAAAATCTTAATATCCATTTATATTCCACAAGTGTTTATTAATCTAAGTATTTTACATGTATTACCTTACAATCACTTTCTAAGTATTTTTATTCACATAAAGTATACTCAATGAGGCACTTGGTACAAGTTTCAGCATAGTTAGTTGTACTTTCTAGGCTGTGTAACTCTACTCCTTCCTTGCTAGTTTAAAAAATATGTAAGATTGCAAGTGACTGAGATATTACTATAATACCTTAAGTAGGTATTTCTTCTATATACCTCACATTTGTGTTTACACTATGTTTACGTTATGATTGAGAACTGTTGTTCTAAAGTACTCAATATACTCATTTATACTTATTTTCCTTGAAACAAACAGAATTAAATTGATAAATTTAACCAAAATAAGATAAAACTAGAGTAGTACCATGGATACTAATAGGAACATCAGTTTGGCAAGTCTTTGAATCAATTTATTTTACTAAATTATTCTGAGATACAACTTTGATGCTGTTAAATATTTTAGTATGATTTCTCTAGTACTGAAATGAATTAAACACATACACACACCACACACAAATATAGACTGTCTGTACAGGGCCAGCTTCAGGAACATCAACTTGTGCCCTCACAGGATCCTATGTTCAGAAAGGCCGCACTTAGGGTTTAATGCTCTGAGGCTGCCATTTTGAAATTTTTAATAATTTTATCTTTGAATTTGTGTGTTGTAAGTGAAAGCTGATTGGACAATGGAGCATGCACTAGAGTCTTGGAGCCTTGGCTCACCTTCTGCTATGTCCTTGCTTCCCCACAGTGGGTTCTCAGCAAGCCTCTTCCACCTTCTGATGTGCCAAGGCCTGTCTAACCTTCTCTTTCCCGCCCCTGGACGCTGCTGCCCTCTATCTGGATGGCCAACTAGTTGTGTAGGTGGGAGAGGGAGTGGGCCAGCATCAGCATCCTACCCTAACCCTCAGCCTCTGGCGCAGGGGCCTGGCAGGGTCGGGCATCAGTGCACAGCCCTGTGACTTGGGGCCAAGTGAGCAGTGGCTGTCCCAGCCTTGGACTGGCAGTGACATGGCATTTTTGGCAGGCGACTTGGTGGGGCTCCCTTGCCAACTCCTTATCTAGGAACTGAGTGGGTTTCTATGCAGAGGTTACAGTCTCTTAGAAGTTGTCTCTTTTTCAAGAGTTGGGGCAGTGGGCCTGTGGGGATATTTACTTCCTTGCCCTAGGCGACCAAGAGACTATAAATGCTGTATAAGTATATGGTAATAATAAAATATCATGAATATGCTGTAGGAAAATAATTCAAAGTCTAGCCTCAAAATTAAAAAAAATGTAATAGAGTTTATTTTATAAAGGAAGCTGAAAATGAATTATCTGTCTAGAAAAACTAACTTCTAAATTAGAATATATTTTAGTATGCTACTGAGATGTAATCTAACTAATATACCGCAGTGTGTAACTGTCAGACATTCTGGTGCTATTGAGTGACTTACCTCACTATGTCTGGGCGTTTTCAAGCAAGTAGCAAGCCAATCCCAAGATCACCTAGACTGTAGTCAATTAGTTCGATCATTGATTTTCATCACAGTGATTTGGGAACCACTGTAACACAATGTATATCATAAATTTGTTACTTTCTGGTATTTTAGGAATTGCCACATAGACCAAAAATTGGAGGTAGTATAAAGGAATGTTTTCTTTTCTTCCCCTTCGTGGAATCAAGAAATTAAGCCTCATGTCACATCATCCACTGTGATTCCCCCTTACCCCAATTTTTTCTCCCTCTGCCTAGAACTCTAGGTCTTCTCCAGAAGTATACCAGGAATAATTGCAATATTTTACACTCCATATAGTGCGATTAGGGTTTGGTGTAAGAAGTATACAAAGAACTAGTAATGACAGATTGTGAAAAGGCAAGGGAAAAGGAACCTGAATAAAAAGTATTCAAGAAAAAATAGTATAAAGAATGGGAGCCCAGTTTTGGTTGACTCCTTTCCTATCTTTCTTGGCAGAATATAAAATTGACATTACAAGTGATATGTAGCAAAATGACTGTATCTGTAGAAATGCTTAATTCAGTTAATTTGAGTAGTAAGAGTTGTATTTAACTTTATTAGACTATCATCAAAGACAGGAGGAATTTTAGAAATACTCTGGCTATATACAGAGATGAAAAAATTACATCCAGCATTAAGTGACCAGGCAAAAGGCCACACATTGTCAGTCAAAACTAGAACTTGTATCTGCCTCCTAGCCCAGTGTTCTTTCAATTACATTTCTTCACCTTCCCCTAAACAAAGATCTTCCTACAACTCCTAGTAAAAGCTAATCTTGACATTGATATTTTAGTTTGAGCAGGTTATAATGGAACATTCAGTGAGGTTTTGAGCCACATTCTCTAATGAAATGATATTTTAAATGAAATGTTATCTAAGTCTTAAATTTGTAGCACTACTTTTAATTAGTAAATTAAGGTATTGTGTTTAGGGAGATTTTTTTAACCTTAATTTTTGGCTTCAAATAAGAAATGGTGAACACTTTTTGGATGGGTTACTGTGCAAACTGGTTCTTGGTATTTAATATATAAAAATCTTAAATTTTTTGAAGGAAGAGGAAGAAAATGAAACCTTTGAGCTGAGCAGGGAATATGAAGAATTAATCAAATTGAAAAGAAGTGGCTCTATTCAAGCTAAAAATCTAAAAAGCAAGTTTGAAAAAATTGGACAATTGTCTGAAAAAGAAATACAGAAAAAGATAGAAGAAGAACGAGCAAGAAGAAGAGCGATTGACCTTGAAATTAAAGAGCGGGAAGCAGAAAACTTTCATGAGGTATACTATATTTAACTTAGTTGTGGTGTACAGTAATGATAATGAACTCAGAAATAACATTGACTTATTTTAAAGTTTTGGTACTTACAGTTAACCCTAGGTATATATTATAATCTGGAAACTAAATAGCAAAAGCACATTAAAATCTTAAGAGACTTTAAAAGATTTCCCCACTCTAGCATTATTTCAAAATGACTTTTATCAGAATTAAAGCCTATAGTGAACATCAAATGGTTCACTCTAGAAAAATAGTTCAAAAGTATTTATTGGCATTAGTTTCAGTTTGAATCAGTAGAACCAGTGTATATTCGAGGTAAACTCGAGATTATTCTTTGTATAATTCAGAGATTATTATACTTTCTTATTTAAAGATGAGGCCAACAAAGCCTATATGATCTGCTCAAAGTCATGCCAATAATTCAATGGCAGAGCCAAAATCAGAATTCAGATGACATGACTTTGAAGTACCTCCATATGTAAAATAAGGAGGCAATTACTAGATGACTTGTAATGTCCCTTCCAGCTTAAAGACTACTTCTGTGATTATCAATACTGGTTTAAATAGGATCTGGAAAATTTTTTTTTCTGCCAGAATTACCATTTAATAATATTTAACAGCATTTAACCTATATTCTTCTAAAAATGCATTTTCATCAAATATTCAACTAGTAAAAACAGGTGTGGGAAGTTGGGAGGGCCTTCAGAGGATACTGTGAATAAAAAGATACAATGAAGAAATTATGTGCAAATTCTCTGGACTATAAGCAATTCACTATTATTGAGGAAAGCAGAGTGCAAGATCAGCAAAAGATAATGATGAAGATGCAAACACACGTGAGATGACCATGGGTCTTAAATGCCATGCATAGAAGGAATTTTTAAAACGTGGGCTGATATTAACAAATAGTCTTCTTTATAGCTAGACCATGCTGAAGCTAAAGATGGTTTTAGATTCATGCATTAAAAAATTATTTGAATGCCTACTAAGTTCTAGGGATTGTTCTGAACACTGGGAGTACATTGGTGAATAAACCTGCAGCCCTTGCTCATGTAGTGTTTAGAATCTAACTTGGGGGGTGTGTGGAAAACAATTATTGGGTAGTAAATAAAAGCTATGGGGATTAACAAAGCAGGGCAAGGGAAATAGAGAGTATGTGGTACTATTTTGTACAGGGTGGTCAGAGAGGGCCTGATTGATTAGGATTTGAACCAGGGCTGGAATGGAGAGGACAGATAAATATGTAGGATACAAAACTGGCAAGACTTGGGGATGGTGGTGGAGAGGAAGAGAGGGAGAGGAAGTGATCAAAGTACCTGGTACACATGAACATAAGGCAATATGGGAATAAAGGAGTTAGGAAGGAAAAGAGGTCACAAGCTATTTTAGACAAATAGACATGCTGTGGAACATCCAGATATCCATCAATCAAATTGATATGCATCTGAACTTTGTGCAACACTAAAACATAAGGACCTAGTGCCTGGGCTAGTTGTAGATACACCACTTTGTCATTGCTAAAAGCAAACACCATGGCTGTTTTTCACATCTTCTATGTTGTGGCCTGTATTAAGTTTTGGGTACATAAAAGTGCATATAATAGGCCATCAGCCTAATGAGATGAAAATAATTATAATTGTTATAAGTGCTAAAATAGGAGTTATATATTTAGTGTTTACTGGATCAAATAGGGCAGAGTCAATATTCCTAGGAGAGGTTTAACAGGGCTGAGAAAATGAAATTTAAGCTATGAAGGTTGAATAGAAGTTGCAGTTAAAGAGGGGAAGCATTCCAGATTGGAGGGATAATGTGAGTCAACACAAAGGTAAACATTTATCTGGGGAGTGGCAAATAGGTTCAAAGGCAAGGTTCATAGAATAATGGGTGATAGAATAAAAAGCTGGGAAAGTAGGTTGTGGCTAGCTGATGAGGGCATTTTTAACTTTGCAGGGCCCATGATCGGGGAAGAAGGTTTAAGTTTTAGAACAGAGTGATAAAACGTTTGTTTATAAAAGAATTCTGGGATCCTGGAGGATGAACTGGAAGACAGGCACAAGGGCATGAAGTTGGAATCAAGGGAGAAAAATGAACCCAAATTTAACAAAACTCAGTAACAGGTTGTTTATGGAGAGGTGGTTGCTGAGCCTAACATTATTTCAAGATTACCAGGGAAACTAGATGATGCCACAGAGAATTCAGGTCTGGAGAGGTGGGGTGAATCAATTGTTTTGGCCATGTGAAGTTTGAGCTATATGTGGATAAGGGAAAGGCAGTCTCAAACATAAGTGCAGAGCTCAGGTGAGAGGCAGGAGCTAGATTGTAACTTTTTTAGATACTATTTCAAAGTATAGAAGCAAAGCCATTCTTAGAGTTTAATAGTTCGAAGGTGAATGATACAACCCCGGAGAACACCAACATTTAATGTATAGATGGCCATAGATCAGTTGATTCTTTAGAGATAAATGGATCACAGAAGGCAAAGAAAGGTTCAATCAGTACGCACTTGCTTCTTTTTTTTTGTTAAAGGTAGAGAAACCTCAGAGCAGTCATACCTAGCTCTACAAAATATGTAGGTAAGATAATAAAAGAAATGAGGTAGGTCAACTCTTGTTGTATTGCTATTACTGGCTCTCTTTTGTATAAAAGGATATGAGATTAGGACATGGCTTATCTCCTGTAACCCCTGAGAATGTCCTGAATGGAGTTTCCTGTGAAGAATGTTGACATCCCTCCTATCATATCCCTCTAGAGGGTCATTGAGATTTCCTTTGAAAACTTGTGTTGGCACAATTTTTGGTATTGAGTGCAATCAACTTCCAGAGTAGGACCCCGCCCCCCCCATTCCCATTTGACCATGTCCGGTTCCCTCCTTTAGAAAATGTCAATGTTGAAGAGGTCTTCTGTTTATATTCCAGACATCTTTCAAGGCCTAACTCATTCATGCAACCTTTCCTAATCAAAGAATTCCACCCCAGCTCCTTAGCCCTTAACCTGTATCACTCATTTGGTACTTCTTAAATCACTTAATTGTCTTATAGTGTTTGACTTTCTAAAGTTAGATTTTCCAGTAAGGTGTATGCCAAAACCATTCCTTATGCTCCCTTTTATCTCAAATTCACTACCCAATTGTGCTGCTTTTATTATTCATGTGCTGGGGAAATCAATTCCCTATCTAAGAATGCACCTAGAGAACAAAAATCATTCCCTTTAACACGACTCTTAGTAGATTCATTTCCCAGAAACATTTTTAACCTTGTTTTTCAGAGATTCAAGAAAAGGCAAAATTATAGTTAACAACTGACTGTTCATAAACTTTCTCCCAGTTAGCTTATGAGGAATTTTACTTACCGAATTTATTTTCTAAAGGCAGGTTTAAGATAGCTAAATAACAGTTATGAATTTGCACAAGCGTTTACTCTAAAATCCACAAGGCAACTTATTAACTGGGAGGGATTCAGTCAGAATAGCAGTTATTAAACCTGCTGAAATATCCTATCTTGAAGATTCATTTGGTTAAGCAAAGAATAAAATTGACTGTATAGTGTGAACAGAGAGGTCCTTTTCTCATGTAAGCCTCAGATAAACCTGAGATAAAACTGCAGTAAGCAAACTATTGTTTAACATTTACTTTTTAGTCTTTTAAGTATAATAAAGCAATCATATTGCTGATTAGCAATAACTGTAGTCAGGCATTATGTTTATCAACTGAAGGTAAATAATGGCACAAATAGAATTCACCCATTAGGTATCTGGTTGTGTCTCATGTTCTAGGATTTTCCAACATAAAATGAAAAATCTGATTCAGGAGAACCAGAAAAACTACCCAACTTACTCTAACTCCTCGTTCTACATCCATGAACCAAGATTTTCTTATATAGGCAATTGTTTTACAGCTTGTTTCAAAATTTTCTTTATTCAGTTGGATGTGGTACCCTGAAGCAATTTCCTCATAGTACTGTGAAATATAAATGGTAACATTTCCAGATAGACGCACAAAAACCTAAGCAGCTTAGAAACCAAGAGTCAACTACAACTAGAGTACTTGAGAAACCATGAATTAACTGTACCGTCCTCTACAAAAACTGTTCTCAAAGGCCAGAGTGACCTCATCAGCACCAAATTGGTTTTATAGACTCAACACTTTGACAGTTGAAACTGCTCTTAAATTACTCATTTATTTCCAATGGCTTCCAACTTTCATCCCTAAATAGATGACTTGCAATCATACTTTACCTCAGTGACTTCCCCAAGTTCCAGCCATTGCCTCTTTCGACACTTGTCTTTCCATTTTTTCCACCTACACACTCTTCTCTGCCATTTGACCATCAATAAATTGTTGGATGGAATTCATCTCAAAGACAGTTGTCAACTAAGAAGGGTGAGGAAGAAAATCATGAAGTGGGAAATAAAACAGAAATTGCATTCTCTGTATGATGTAGTAGGGTGAAGATATGGGGACTCTTGCGAGGAGGAGTATGTTAACAATTGTCACAATGTATAGTATCCCTACCCTTTTCTGTTATTCAGCACTATCAACCAGGCACTGAGAGCTGGTTGGGCAAATAAATACACTGGGACTCGTGATATTGTGTGATCTTTACACTGGGAAAAAGGGATTCCAATTGTTAAGAGAATGTCTTTTCTCTTTAGCTTTCCCAAATTGAGGGATAGCGGAAATCTCCATGTCTGCAGTGTAGCACAAAATACGCTCACTAAACATGTTAATTATTTTGTGCCTGTAAATGACACCTTTAGTTCTGGTTGGTTTTTAGAAAACAAGCAATTCTTATCCTTGGCCCACTTCTTAAAGGAAGAAGATGTTGATATCAAGCCTGCAAAAAAAAGTGAGGCTCCGTTTACTCATAAAGTAAATATGAAAGCTAGATTTGAACGAATGGCTAAGGCAAGAGAAGAAGAAGAACAAAGAAGAATTGAAGAACAAAAGTTGCTACGCATGCAATTTGAGCAAAAGGAGATTGATGCAGCACTACAAAAGGTATGGGGCTTATATATCCTTTATTTTCCAAAGATGCTCTCTTAAAAATCATGCAGTTTTATATGAGGAGGGATAAAAAACAAAAACAAAAAACATTTTAATAGCTTTCAAGTCACTGGAATGTGTTGTAAAGTACACTTTGTAGTAAGCATACTTACATATTCTTTACTTTAGAAAAAATCAAAACACATTTGCTTTCAATTCTATGACTAACTCACTGTCCTGAAAATGCTATAGTATAAGTGCCAACTTGAATGCATTTATTTTAATTTAGAAAAGAGAAGAGGAGGAAGAAGAAGAGAGTAGCATCATGAATGGCACCACTATTGAAGATGAAGAGCAAACCAGATCAGGAGCTCCGTGGTTCAAAAAGCCTCTAAAAAACACATCGGTTGTAGACAGTGAGCCAGTTAGATTTACTGTTAAAGTAACAGGAGAACCCAAACCAGAAATTACCTGGTGGTTTGAAGGAGAAATACTGCAGGATGGAGAAGACTATCAATATATTGAAAGAGGAGAAACTTACTGCCTTTATTTACCAGAAACTTTCCCAGAAGATGAAGGAGAGTATATGTGTAAAGCGGTCAACAATAAAGGGTCTGCCGCTAGTACCTGTATTCTTACCATTGAAAGTAAGAATTAATCACTTTTTAGTGTAGAACTTTTATTCTATTTAAAATTTTTTCCTCTAAAAAAAAAATCACTTTTCTTCTTCTCTTTTTTTAGCTGACGACTACTAGCTCCCCTTCCCTCTCCCTGGAACTTTCTCTCTCTCTCTCTCTCCGACTTTCTTACTACATCCATCTTTCTGTGGCGGGGCCAAAAAAGGAAACCAGAAGTGCCACTGTGTTGACTTCTTATTCCTTTTCATAAGTCTTCAAACACAAGCTCATCTAAAGAATGATACCTTCTTCCTTTCCAAATGAGCACCAGATTCATCGCCATATTATGCAGTAGAAGCTAATGTGTATTTAATGGGGGAAAGTGGGAAATTCATTCAATTATTCTATCAGAACCTATTACAAAGGCTGTGTATTTCCCGTAAATTCAAAGTAATTATATTAAAAAATCACAAATAGAACACATTATTTTGCATGAAAGATTAACATTTATGAGCTATTTACACCTAAAAATAGTATGAAATAGCTGAGACAATGAATTTGGAACCAATATTGATTTGAGTGGGCTTTTTTCCTTAGTAGTACGTCATTTTGGTGTTGTAGTTTCAGTCTTTCTGAACCAGACATACGAGGGGGGAGGGGTGTCATTCCTTTTATAGGAAAGGGGGAACATGGAGAAAAACAAAAAACAATTAAATGAGACTTTTAAGGAACTGCCAGAGAAAATTTGATGGAAACTACAGAATTCTGAGTGTTGAGAATATTAAACATGTACTTCTCAAATGAGTGTAATACACATTCAAACTTATAAAGAAAATTTATGTGGTGACCTTGCCTGAAAAATTATATTTTAATGAGAAAACGTTGTATTAATAATTCATGCAGAAGAAAACAGTTTCAACATAATCAAGAATTTCAAGATCTAAGAGGATTTAGGAAATCTAAGAGATTTAGGGGAAAAACAGCACAATCTTCAATTTTAAATTCTGGTCTTTAAAATGAGTTTGTAAATAATTAGCTACCATGTTCTATTATCAAGTTGTTTTATATTTTAATTTTCTGGAAGACAACTTTATTTTACAATGTAAATCCGTAATAAAGTAACTTCTGTATTAAAAAAAAGTCTGTCAGTGTTTTTTAAAAAAGACAAAACACTCCCTTAATAATATGCATCAACGTACATTTATTTTTTTATTGAGGAAACCATAATCAATACAAAATTACAGCAATCATGTGCCCTTTTACATACAATGTCATTAAAGCAAACTCTAAACCACAGTTTGTAAAGTATTCAATTTACCTCAAGTCCAAGCTGCATCTCCCTAAGACACTGTTCCCATCACAGTAGCCATTTTAAGCCAATCTTCTTTTTACACACGGGTAGTTTCTGTAGAGAACACTTTTCTCAGGACGAAAATGCATCGAGCATGCATAAGAAAAAATATATATATATATGCGCAAATACATTTAAGAGTTTCTATAGGGGTATCACTGAAGAAAATAAAACCCTGGGATTTATTTGCTTCGTAAAAGCACCAATTTAAAAAATCCCTCAGAAGTTTATACTGTGGCAAGAAAACTCAAGTGACTAAACAAAAAATAAGGTTATTTTCAGAGTCAAAATTATCTTTAAGTATTGTTAAAATACATTTTAAAATGAGGCAGAATTTTCAGAAAATAAAAATAAGACATCCTCATTGATTAGTAATTTCAACATCCTTATTCTAGACAAAAGATAACTTTGCAGGTGGAACTGGTTCTCCTGGCAGAGCATTCAAACAAATGAAATGTTATCACTTCTGAATATATTCCTATTTCCCTCTTAAGGTACTCTGCTACTCCTACCCAAACCGACCCTTATGAATTAACTACCAAGGTATTTGTCTAAGGATATATTTTACAATGTTTATAAACAACTAGTATTAAATCATTAGTTTTAGTATTAAAACCATTTTCATTAATTAAAAATAAAAGTATACTTCTCATTTCTAAAAGAAACATCAAACCATAAGAATTCCAAGTATCACCACACTAAGATATCTTAAAAAACAAAACAAAAACAAAACACATTGTCAAGTTTTTTAAGTGCTAAATAAAATAAATCAGTTCAATTTCAATCTAAACATTGTTTCTACCACTCCTAACATCCACTGCATTCAAATCAACTGGCTCACCTTTTCTGCTTTCCATTTATTTCAAGGTTAAGATTAGCGCCATATAAAAAATGCTTGCAGTATCAGTGAAGGCTTATGGTAATGAACAAAAAGATTTTCATGAGATAGAAACAATGCCCCAATATCTATTAGCATTCATTTATATTTTCTTTTATAAAAATGCAAACTACAACTAACCAAAACTTGACAAGCTCTTAAAGTTCAAAGAGCTCTTTTTATATTATCAATCATAACATACCTATCATTGACTATTAAAACACGCATATGCACACACATAAATGTGGTGCAGTAACTACATAACTTATGAAATTTAACAGTTCATTGAACATTTAAGATCAAGTGAATAGCACTTTAAAATGAAAAGTGATAAAAAAGCAGGTACATTACACCCTATACCATATTATGTATGGGAATACATTTCATATTTCTCAATTATGATTTGCCAATTTTACCTTCTACATTGAGCCCTTCTACGGTCCATGCTCATCGGCTCACCAATGGCATACACTCAAAGGATTCCTCTTTATGGGTAACTATCTCAGGACCTGATTTTATGAGCTATGATTTGGTGCTTGCAGCATCTTCAGCACTGTGTGTGAAAATGAAGGCAGTATTTTTGAATATTTTTCTTTGTTGTAGAGATAAGCAGGAGTTTTAAAAGGATCAGCACATTTTAGAAATCGAATAAACAAAACTGATACGATGCTGCTCTAATACATTCATCTTAACTCAAAATATGTACCAGTTAAAATCATCTATAAGAACACACAAACATTTTAAACTGGCAAAAAATAAAGTAAGTGCAGCGTCAGTTATTAAAGTATTATAAATCAGAAAAATATTGGTTGCTATACAGATTATGAAAGGTTATTTGCTATACAGTTAACATTTCACTAATGCACATGCCTTTTATGAAAACATACTGCCAGTATTCCTTACATTTTTTCCTTTTTCAGTGTATATAAGTTATGAAAACTGAATTGGCTAAAAAAAAAAAAAAAAGTAATAAAACTCTAACCCATAACGTCCCTACTGAATTACTATAGTTCAAGAATAAGAAAAAATAAAGACTCCATAGCTTTGGAGGACAAAGAAAATATCCTGTCAATCATAAACAGATTGTGAAGGCTGTTGAAGTTTCTGACCAAGTGATTTCCTAAATCTTGAAAACTATGTAACTGTCCTTTAATTTTTAACAATTCTTCTATATTTGGGAAAAGATTACAAAAAGTTTGGATGTAGTTCAATTACAGCAGCAATCTACTCATCATTTCTTTTTTCTTGTTTTAATAAAAAAAATTAAAGTAAAAAACATTACCCAGAAATGTAAACAGTTGTTTGAACAACTTACAGACTTTCCACTGAAATGGTAGCATAAATAACAGAATACATTTTGGGGAAGCAGTAGCAGATTGCTTTTGAATACACAACCACAAAAACCTCACAGGGACAACATTAATGTACTGAAATATTATTTATATATGTCCTTAGGTTGTGCTTACCTGTTGCTTTTTGCAGCAGAACCTAAGGTGGAAGGTCTGGGAAGGCACTGTGAAGTATAAATAATTGCACTGTTTGCAATTAATAAAGATTTTAAACCTTAAATGAATCAAAATCAACAGCCTCCAATTTGTGAGTTATGATACTGACTCCAACTGAACTATTTCTTCAGTTTAATTAATAAATGCACCACTTTCCTAAAAGGTCATCTATAAAACAGTATCATGCAAAATAGTGAAATTGTTCATGTCAATACCCTACTCTTAAAGATAACAGATAACTCCTTAACTATTAAACTTCAAACTAGAACTACATATCCATATCTAAAAAAGGGTAAGGGAAGTCACTCTAGGTTCTATAAAACAATCAAAACATTTCAAAATATCTACAATGAACTGTACTGCTACCCTATAGGTTATCTCAACATTTATGTCCTTGTACATCTTCCTTTATAGTATATTCAGAACACAAAATGGTGCTCCCCACCAATGAAAGAATACATATTTATGAAATGGTGTTAAAACTGCTACATTGCTTAATATTTGCAAACTGAAAATCACTTCTGTCTGATACATTTCAAGTCTTTCATGTTAATATATAAGATATGCATATTTTACACTGAAAAACAATATATTTTAGGAGCACCAATGAGTAATACTATTCAACTTTGTTAAAGATCAGTTTTCTTTAGCTATAGCTAAAGCATATCAAAAATACTTACCCATTAAGCTCACTTAAAAAAAAATACAGACCTATGTATTATATTCTATGTTAAATTAAGAAGCAGTTATGGTTTTCCAAGATGTCAGCACTGTATTCCAGCATAATATTCACACAAAGTACGGCATTTACATTATGTGGAACATTGACAAAAAGACACTGTTGCAGTTCATCAATTTGTCATTCTGATGTACTTACAGTGCAATGCTCCTTGAAGGAACACAATCAAGGGTGATACACAGCACAGTCCTCCTCACCCCTACAGAGCTAGTTCTATACTGGCTGGATCAAACCTGCACTTCAACAGACAATGGCAAGACAGACTGTATTTGCATGGAGTCTAATATATTAATATGCAAAGAGCCAACAAATATGCAAAGAGTAAAACAAAGGATTTCAACAAAATATCAAAACTTCAGCATGAGTGTTATAGAGAATAAAATGATTTCAAGTACATAAAAAATTTAAGTTGATTCAATGATTGGACTTGTGCATTTACAAAACAAAGCTTATCTATACTGCAAAAAGAGAAAAAAAAGCTTGAACATTTTCATACCCCAATAATGTTTCAATGGCAGATGCACTGTAACTATACTTTTGCATACTATTCACTTTTCTACCCTAAATTTAGAAAGAAACACACTAATATTGTATACATTGAAAGAGTTGCTTTAACATGAGAAAACTGTTCTTATTAGACTACTCATATTCACTATCCGAAAACTGTTTAAAATTAGTTATGCTGAAACAGTCTTGGAAATCAAGTAATTATCAAATTAAGAACAGAAAGGTTAACTGTTATAGCAGCAGTAC